AAACTCATGCATGGCTAATAAACTCATCTGCATCTGCCTGTTTTACCCTCGAACTTCCTTCGACTCCTCGAGGAGAAATATTACCTCCAATATGTTAGAGTCGTACATCAAGTATTTAGCAACTTTCTAACCATCTGCATAATAAATTGAATACATCAAAAACTATAAATAATGGCCAACAACTGCAAGAGCTGAAAGTTCGTTCGCCGAAATGAAGAAATTTTGCCAGAATTTCGGCATTTTGTGCGTGCGGCTAACCCGAAAATGAAGCCTCAGCCGAAGGCGAAGGCTAATGGCCCCCAAACGACCGCAACGACAGGCATTTACAAACTTGGCCAACTGCGTGCGACAAGTGTAGGTAAGTGGCGATGACTCCACCCAGGGTAATCCTCTACACCCAGCCTTGGTCCTGTGAAGAGCACCTTTTCTTTTTGTTTCAACCAAGAAAATATCAAAGTAACATTATAAATTTAAATTTCTACATATATGGTTTTTATTATAGAAAGAAAGAAGCTTACACTTCTTAATAAAATAAACAATTTAAAGCAAACTCTTATCCAATGTTCCTTTAGTTGCAGGTGTAGTGCATCCAGTGTATCCACCAGACCGCATCAGTCAGCGGATGAGCCACAACCCAGGAGATGACCGCGACCAAGACGATGGCGACGCATGACAGCAACAGCAACAGCCACAGCAGCAGCAGCAGCAGCAACATCAGCAGCAACATGAGCAAGCTCAAGAGCAATATCAAGGCAACAGGGACATCAGGGACAGGAGGCGGGGGAGGTGGGATGGGGATGGGAGTCGGGACAGGGCAATCGGCCAAACTGTTAGACATGGTGCGTTGTGTGCCAAGAGCTACAGCAACAGACAGCCAACAGACAACGGACAGGCAACAGGCAACAGGCAGCAGGCAACAGGCAACAGGCAGCAGGCAACAGGCGCAAGTCAAGTGAATGGCCAATGACCACCAAATTGGCAGTAAAGCATACAAAAATAACTTGAAATGGTCAAAAGGTTAACAAAATCAGGCAGAGAACAAGAGGAGACGGCAGTCAGCCAGCAAGCCAGCCAGCCAGGATGCTGCAGCTGCAAGCTCAACATGTTGCCAGCATTCCGTCAGGGGCAGCAACTGTTGCCAATGCGCCACAAACAGCGATGGCAGCGGCAACAGCAACGGCAACGGCAACATAATCCCCCAGCCAGTGCGCAACGAAAAAATGATTAATGAGTTGCCTCATTACTTGGCGAAAATCAATGTCTTGCGCATATTCTGTGAGCCAAGAACCCGAAGCCGGAGCCAAAACCTGTCGCAGCCACTTGGCCATGTTGCCGCTTGTGTTGCCGTCGTTCTTTGTCGCATAATAAATCGATCATAATTCTCAGCCGAGACTCAAATATCGCATGTGTCGACGCTGATTTCGATGCCGCTGTTGATTCTGATCTGCGACCAGCGACAATCAGCTCCTGTCGCACACGACGACAGCGGAGACAGAATCAGCAGCATCATATGCACTAGCACACAGAGAGAAATAATCTGAGATTTGGGATTTTGAGATATAAAAATGGGAATGCATTCCATGGGGCTAGCTTAAAATTAACAGAAAGATGATTAAGTTAAGCTAGTATCAACAACCTCAAACTAAGAGTAATCTGTAGATTTTGGGATTTACAGTTGAAGTTCTGACTATTTCTTTATTACAATGGTCTTATTGATAAACTAGTTACTCATTGCTAAAACTCTAAACTTTATGTTATATTTGTTCCCAAAAACCTCTTCAGTAATTCTCCCTGTGCACCTGAGAATGATCCCCGTCGATCTTGGCTTCAACTTGCCCCTTTTCAATGCCTTTTTTTTGCTTTTAATTGCAGTCGCGCGCCTGCCAGGGCAAACTTGGCAACCCATCTGGCTCTGGCAAGCCGACTGATTTTATTTATTAAACTGTTGACATTCTGGTTGGCCGACTCTGGCGCCTTTGATAGCCATCAGTCGATATCTGGCCGATATTCCGCAAGAGAGGAATGGCGCCTGCAACAGTTCCGATTTATGGAGACCTGCATGTTTGATGTACTCCACGGCCATGTTTGTGACTTATTGGTAGGAAATACTCTTCTCCTAAGGAACATATCCAAGTCTTGTGGCAGAGTTACATCTACCTCAGGTTGGGTAAAAAGTGAAAGTGAGAAATCGTAAAAGAAATTACTATTTATACAATGATAGCACTCACACTGCGCACACTCAACCTCGCTCATGCCTGGATTATTATTATCATTACACAATACTATTTATTTAAAAGCGGAGACACAAACGTGGTGACTGGCCAATAAACCGATGCGATTGAACTCTTTATCGCTTAGCTATCAGTTATCTGCGGCAACTATGTAAATATTGTAAATCTATAAAACCGAACGGCAGTGCCAAATTGAACTTGAGAAGGAGAGAGCTCTAGAATTTATGACTCCTTTATCGGATCTCCCCGAGTGACTGGTTAAGGTTTACCTTTCCCACATAAAACGCGTACTTCCCGGTATCTATGACGATTTTCCGAGGGGGGAAAAATTGTAATAAACGAAGACCGAAATATTAAAGTCAACAGCAGAGAATTGTTTGCGGTTGCCCTTGCACATTGCTCTTGCTGTTGCTGTTGCTATTGTCGGCAAACAAGTTGAATGGCATTGCAAATGAGCGACAAGAGATGAAAGGGATTGCTACACGGAAAATAAGGAAAATTGGCTTATAAATAATATTTTTAACTGGTATCCAAGGTAATATTTATCAATTTTAAAGGGCAGGACATAGAGTCATTAGGACACATCTTACCCAGACTCTTATTTCAAACCTAAAACTCTAAGATATTTAGACCTTGGAATGTGATACCATTTTGATTGAAATTTTCTTAAAGAGTAAAACTATAAACCCCTTTCTGGTAACCCCAACTGTATAGATTTTAACTTCAAAACTAAATTAAATTTAACTACAAATTGCACATTTTTTTGCTCCTGTGTAGTGCTACTGCCAACGGCAGTTTGATTGTTATAACCAATGAATGAATGCAGTTGCTCCGAAGATTTGTCTGCCAGACCAACTTATGAGTTTCCCTCGGCAACTCCCGACTCCTGCTCCAACTCCAGCTGCAGTAGCAGACCCTGCTCCTGCTCCAGCTCCTGATTCACTGCCCCGAGGGTTGTGGCAACACATTTTGTGGTCTGGAGTTGCAGCTTCTGCTGATTCCGCTGATGCCATTGTTCCCACTGCCCCACCACTACTCTGTGTGTGTGTGTGTGTGTGTGTACCTCCAGGGGGTGTTTATGTTGTGTGTTGGCCATGAATTGGCTGCAAACAACATTTCCGTTTTGGCCATTATGTGGCGCCCACCCCGCGGATAAGCGAGAATAATGACTGGCGGAGACAACTCCCCGTTGACGTTAACATTTTCACACTTTTCGAAGGAGTGAGGAAGGAGCAGCTGTTGGCTGGCAAAAGGATTGCCCTTGCAATATCCTTGTTCATTTCCCTTATGGTTTTATTGTTGATGATTTATTGATGTTCCTTTGTAATCCGTGCGAGGGAGACTTTTCCATTAGCTTTTTCTGAAATTCAAGAGGGGGAAAAGGAGGTAAATTTAAAGGGGTCTTATGACAGTTTTAAATAAAACCGCTACTCATTCAAAAACGATCATTTAAATCGTTATAAATATATCCACGAAATTTGAAGGGATTTTTTAATGGAACTACAGGATTAAACAAGGTGAAATGAATCAAACTAACAATCTTTCTGCATACTTGAACCTGCAAAAATGTTCATACATGTACGTATATTTAAAAATTCCCTTAAAAAGTAATCATGAAAACTTCAACAATAATCCGTGCCTCTTCACAATTTCAACACCTTTTGGTGGACAATGCTGCTGCTGTGCTGGAACTGCTGCAGCAATTGTGCATTGTTTCGGTTATCCTGGCAACGGGCAATACATAACTACATAAATTAACGGACCACTATGCTCGGGAATGGGATGGGATGGCGCAGTGTCGACAGCAGGAATCGCTACCAGTTCCTCAATTGATTTTCAAAACCACTTTGTTGGTGGGCCCCGAGCTCAGAGGCAAACTGGACTGCCGGACTATTGGACAACTGGACAACCGACAACGGATATCGAACATTTGAAACAATGGACAGCAGGCAGCATAACAAGGGGTATTGTGTTGTGTGCACATATTGAATGAATTGCCTTTGGCTTCAGCTTTTTCAGTTCTTTTTTTTCTGGGACTGCAGCCAGGCTTCGATTGGCTTTGTCCTGACCGAGGAAACAGTTCGATTGCAAAGACAGGGAGAGAGTGCAGGAGCCAGTGAAATCAGAATCGTATCAATTGAAACCTGTTTCGATGTCGCTGTTAACACATGTTAACAGAGCGTCGCCAAATTGCCACACACAACACACACAGAGAAAGAAACACTCAATTTTGGCCATTTGGAATTGTTAAACCCTGGCAGGGTATTATAATTTTAGTCAGTGATGCAATCATTTCCGACCCTATAAATCATATATATTCTTGATCAGCATCAACAGCCAAGTTGATCTAGCCATGTCTGGTCAAAAAATAAATTTTTGAAAATTTTTCAAAATTTCAAAATTTTATAAGGGGTTACATCGTTAAAATTGTCAAAAATTGGCAAAAATTTTAATTTTCTTAAAGGTTAAATTGAGTATGCAGATTTATTAAACTAGTAAAAATTAACATATAAAAGCTTTCCGTATTAAAATTAAGACATTTTTGGCTTAGTTATGCGTTTTTGAAAATTAAATTCAATGGCAAACTGCAGAGGTATATAAACGTCGGCTTACCGAAGTTATTTTCCGTTCTTGTTTATTTACAGTTAAGTTTATTAAAAGTAAAATAAACTTGAGCATATTTTAATGGTGAAATGGAATGGAAATTGTGAAATCACAGATCGCTTTTATCCAAATCAATTTAGTATTAAGATCTGACCCCGAACAGTAGGCTATGGATTTTCTCGCCAAACCATTATATTACTTGGCTAAGAATCATTAGGCATATTATATATATAATTCGAAATTTAACTTAAAAAAAACCCAAAAACATTTGGGAGGAAGATGTCAAGTCTGCAGGAGAAAGCTCTGTCCAAACTGCAAGGTGTACCAGTCGAAAACAGGCAGGATGAATTACTCCAATACATACGGGATATACAACTCGCCGAATCTCCAAAAACCTGGTCCAGGACTAATTTGCTGAAGCGCTTCTTCAAGGTTAGCAATAAGCCGCACATGATGGCTTACTTGAGAAGTAAGAGCGCTACCTCTTTCTACGAAGAAAGTGAGGATACCAACACCGTTCCCAGTGTCTTTGCAGGAAAACCTGCACCTATTCCTGGTAAGAGTTTCCTTAGGAAGAATTACCCTACTTCCTATTTATGGTGTCCTTTTTGTGTTACTAATTGGTCGAATTTTTCTTTATAGATAGAACATTGTCGTTTATAAGTACCCGTGATCACCATACTTCCGTGGAAAATCCGATTCCGCAGGACACGCCATTGCCAAGCCCAAAGCCCACAGCCCACAAGATGTCCATATCGTTGTACTGGAATCGGTTGTTTCACCGCCAAAAGAGTCAGCCCACAGACGAGGCTCCCGAGCAGGAGACCATTGCCAGAAGCGAGGAGGAGGACATAAAGGTGCTGAAACTGCAGCAAGAACATAATAATTCGGAGACGGAGACTCAGTCGGAGCCAGAGTGTTTGAGGCCCGAGACCCCCATAAACAGTGACCAACTTCCGGTTGCGAATGAGGCGGAAGTCTACTGGAAACGATGGTTCCACCGTACGAAGAGCCAGCCCAAGGACCAGGCCCATGAGCAGAAGACCATTGCTGGAAACGAGATGGAGGAGGTGCGGGTGCCGAAACTGCAACTGGTGCAAGATGATCCAGAGTCGCAGTCAGCAAGCGATTTTGAATTACCACCTCAGGGTGCCAGTGAGGAGCAGCCAATAGAGGCGGATCAAGAGCGGGTGGAGCACAAGACGCCCATTGAGAGTGACTATATTTCGGTTACTGCTCAGTCTGAAGATGCGGGACCCAATCATTCAGCATACGGTGAAGTCAATCTGCCAATGGACCCGGAGCCAGAGCGTTTAAAACCCGAGATACCAAAGAAGAAATTTTATAGGAACGTGTCCGAGAAAGATATTCTGAGTACATTCGAACCAGACCATCTTTTTTCCATTGCGACAGACCCGAAGGATGTGGAACCCTGTCAACCATCATCCAATGCGGCTGAGCAGGAAGAGGCGAAAGTCTATTTGACAACGGACCCGGAGGCAGAGGGCTTGAAACCCAAGACCCCAGTGATAAAACTTGCCAGGCATGTGTCCGAGGAACATATTTCCATTACGGCTGAGCCAGAGGATGCCGAACCAAATCAACCATCATTGGATGGAATCAATCTGGTAATTGAGCCGGAGCCACAGCTCTTGAAGCCCAAGCCGCCAACGAAGAGATTTCCCAGCAATGTATCCGAGAAACAGATTCTAAGCTCATTTCAACGTGACAATCTTTCCGTTGCCGCTGAGCCAGAGAATGTGGAACCCAATAAAGTATCATCCCATGTGGCTGAGGCAGAGGATTTGGAACCCAATAATCCAGCTTCCGATGAAGTCAGTCTGGCAATCGATCACGAGCCAGATCGTTTAAAGCCAAAGACACCAAAGAAAAGAGTTTCCAGAAACATGTCCGAGGAAGAGCACATTCTGAGCACATTCGAACCGAAAGATCTTCCCATTGCGACTGAACAGGAGATTGTGGAGCCCAATAAGCCATCGTCCCATGCATCTGAGCCAGAAGATGCGGTACCCAATCGTCCAACTTCCGATGAAATCAATCCGAATCCATAGGACAGTGCCAGAACTGGGAGTTTACTGCCTCTAGAGAAGATTTTTAAGAATTTCCGACGACAATTGCCAACCAAATTCATTATTATATTAGTTCATAAAATTGTAATTGCAAGTTTCTCTTAAAATAAACGCAATCATCCTGGCCAGTAAACCAATCCGTTTTGGGCCGTCTGTGGGTTCACAGAGTTCAGTTAAATCGGTTGTTAAAATATCTGCACCAGAGGCTCCGATTTCCAGAACGAGTTTCAAGTCCTAAGTTACAAGCAGTGGGGTTAAAGGGTTCCACATAAGCCAGACAAAGCACTGGACAACCCCACAAAATCCTCAAGGTTTTCACTTTCCAGCGAAGCCTTAAAGTGAGACACCACCGAATTTGTTAAATGTTGTAATGAGTATTTTATTATGGAAAGGTTTTCCTTGAAGGGGTGTTAATGATTGTTGGTTTGTAAAATCAAGTTAACAAGAAATTAAGCAAAAATTTAAATCGTTTATTTTAATTAAATTTGCTGGTAATTTACCTCAATATTTAAACCGTCATTAATGTTGTTCAGACCGTAAAAATCGGAAAACTATAGCAGGTATCTAAAAAGGGGGATGTATCTACCATAGTTCCTAGGTTATGATAACAAATTCTTTTAGTAGCGACAACCATGTGTGTATGTATCTATGAACCGGGAAATATTATTCAAAAGATACCAGTTGCATGCCAGTAATCGGGATAAACAGCTGTAGTCTGTTTACAAACACCGAACGCAATCTGCGCAAACTCCGGAACAGGCTTCAGGTGGTAAATATTTACGTCGGTCCGAGGAAAACAAACACTTGTTGGAAACCGCCCGGTGAGTGCGGAAAATTTAAGATAAACACGCGATATGCGCATGTCCTACTTCGGAGCAGCTGTTCTCCGAAGCTGCTGCCCAGGGTGGGTGGTAAAAGTGGGTCAAGTGCCCAACCCCCAACTTTAATTTTCACAGATTCCTTTACATTTATTAAGAGTTTTGATACAAGACTACTATACTTAACTAAATTAATATATCTGAAATATATTTAGCTAGGAACCGGTGTATAAAATTGGGTTAATATTTTATAAATAAGTAAAATTCCTTGAGTGGGGGTCAAAATGCGGCCAACAGATAGCTGAACTTTTGCACAGATACACACCATAAACTCAGTTTAGTTATAGAGATTTTTCTTCGTGGACGTGGCTTGCAGTGTAACCCGTAAAAAATTGCAAATCTTTTGAAGAAACTAACAAATTTCGAGGTAAATGTATTAAAAATATTATTTCAATATCTCTAAGCGTCCATGGCATATGAAACTTTCAAGTTATCTATGAAGATAAACCTGCAATTAGGTATAAATGATTGGGATGCCACACACACGAATGTATTACGTCATTCTTAGTTTAAACTTTTACAAATCTGTTTAAATTTATTTAATTAAAGAATGCGAAGTCCCTCGGCAGCAGTTTCGGCAATGCGAAGGATTTGTCTGATATAATGACTGGCAGCTTCAAGGTGCAACTCATCAACATGGGCACTCGTGCTGCCGCCTGTAAGTGGTCCCCAGGAGTCTCAACTTTTCAGGGAGCTAAATTTTACCTATTCCCCATACAGTTCAGGCAAAATTGAGAGCCCTTCATGAATACCATGTACGTCTATTGCACAACGTCTTACCCGCGCCCTCTGGCGTAGATATTGCCAACAATATCAAATACTTTTCTCAAACTCTACTAAGTAAGTACTTACATATAATATTAATGAATGATTTTTAATGGTGTAAAATTTTTCCACAGCTGTCCTTAAGGATGTGCGAACCTCGCCGCACGAGCTTATACGCGATCCCCTCGAAGATCCCACTCGCATGTCTGCCTATCCCAATCTCGAATATGGCAACCTATACAACGCTCTTACTATGCTCATTGATGTGGCACCTTGTATCCAGTATGGACAAATCGGTAAGTTATAGATACCCCACACTAATTCGCTCTTTTCTATATAAAACCTGGATATTTTTACAGTGTTTGGAAAAGCTCTCCTGCAATGCCTAAGCTGCATCCTCCCCTTTCTCGACAAGGATCTTATCGATAATCTACCTTACCTTGTCAGCTCTACTATCTCTGTTCTACCGCCAGCTTTGCACCAAGATATTGTCAACGCTCTATGCTACTATATCCTGCCCTTTACTATAAGTAAGTTTGATTCTATATCTATCTATATATTTGGAACAACAACCATTTTTTTATCCAACCAGCCCGTCGCAGCTCCGATGAGCAGGAATGCCAAGCTTGCCAGTCCGTGTCCTCGGTGATCATGATGGTGCTGCAGTACTCCAATAACCCAGCCCACCACTGTCAGCTGCTGGAGTGCCTGATGACCCTCAAGCACAACGTGGTCAAGGACATCCTCTGTGTGGTGGCCTATGGTACCGCTATCTCCCGATCTTCGGCCGCCAAGCTGCTCTTCTACTACTGGCCAGCCTTCGACGCTAATCTCTTTGACCGGAAAGTACTGCTTTCAAAGCTAACTAGTAAGTTAACATATATTTTTCAACTTAAGATATACATTAGATAGTTTAATATATTTTAAGATATACTATTACTAATTCTCATTTAAACCCCATTCAGACGACCTGGTGCCCTTCACCTGCCAACGGGAGCATTGTCCAAATGCCGGAAACGCGGAGGCAGCCAAGGTGTGCTACGACCACAGCATCAGCATCACCTATGCACCGGACTGTCCACCGCCGCTCTACCTGTGCATCGAGTGCGCCAATGAAATCCACCGGGAGCACGGCAGCCTCGAGTTCGGCGACATCCTTCATCCCATGCAGCAGGTGTCCATGGTCTGCGAGAACAAGAACTGTCGCTCCAACGAGAAGTCCGCCTTCTCCATCTGCTTCTCCACGGAGTGCGCCAGCTTCAATGGCAACCATCCCATTCGCTACTGCAGCCAGTGCCACAGCAATAGGCACAACTCCCGCCGTGGTGGCGACCACGTGGTGCATCGCAGCTTGCAGCCCGCGTGGCAGATGGACCCCGAGATGCAGATGCACATGGTCGAGTCGGTGGTGAGTCTGCTCCGCGAGGCTAAGCCGCTGAACTTCGAGCCGGGCAAGGAGTCCTCGTCGTCCGATGCCAAGAAGAATGGCTCCGCGCTCACCGCCGACAACATTTCTCTCGAGGAACGGCAGCGGTTGGGCCGCTATGGCATCTGGCTGCTGGTGGGTCGTTGCACTCCCACCGCCGATACACCCGTCGAGGTGCTAGGCAGAATCCTGAGCATGCTCTTCCACTGGTTCCATGTCACCGCCTATTCATACGACGGTAAGGAATTCAGGGGACCCTCATTGACTTCATCTAATAATTCCTTTTAGCTGCCGGTCAGGTGGAGAGTACGATTGAGAAGCTAAAGGTGGATCACGTGTGCAACTGGCTGAAGGAGATCTGTCGCATTCATTACAACGTCTTCATCTCCTGCCTCCTGCCTCATCCCCCCGAGTACGCCCGGGTCGGTGGCCACTGGGAGACCTTGGCGTCGCGTACCAGCCACCTGAAGGAGGGACTCCAGCGGCTGATCTGCCTGGTGCCGTACGAGGTGATCACCTCCGAGATCTGGGACTACGTCATGCCGCACTGGATGGAGGCCATCACCAATGACGTGGCCGAGAAGGAGCTCAACGAGCTGAAGATCGTGCTGAGCAAGATCCTCGATCCGGAGATGTCGCCGCTGGGCTTTGACGCAAAGACCATGTACAACTTTGTGGCCATTCGATTTGAGAAGACCACGGCCAAGGTGCAACAGCAGGCTCTTCACTGGCTGCAGATCCTCACCAAGCTGGAGATTCTCATTCCCTTGGTGCAGCTCTTTGCCATGTTCGGAGATGGAGTGCGCATCATGAAGTACGGCATTCAGCATGAGTTAATGCGCGAGAAGGATGCCCAGTCTCAGGCCAAGATTCCTAAGACTCCATGCAAGGAGAGCAAGGAAACCAAGGCGGAGATGGCCAATCCCCCCAGGCGCAGTTCCATCTGTGAGAAAGTCAAGGGAGAAGTGCATCAGCCATTAGTAAACTAATTGATTCTCCTTTTCCACAGCTCCTGTCGTTGAGGATGACTCCGGCAACACATCTGCCATTTCGGATGATGAGGCTCCTACCAATCGCCACACGGAGTTCTCCACGGATGCTGAGCACAACCTCACCTGCTGCATCCTCATGCTGGACATTCTGCTGAAGCAGATGGAGCTACAGGACGTTGAGCAGCACATGGGCATCCACACGAGCGTCTGCGAGAACGTCTCGCGGCTGATCAAGTGCATGGTCACAGCTGCTCGTGTGGGTCTCAGCAGCCATGTCTGTGCCCTAAAGGTTATTTAGTTTTCTAAATAATATTAACAGAAATAATTTAAATATTTACGTATCTTCCTGAAATAAATTCCAGGTTGCGGAATGCGCCTACTGCGAGGCCTCGATCATGTGGCATCAGCTCTCCACTAAGTTGGTCCAGTTCATGGCTCCCCTGAATCCTGTCAGACCACCAGATGTAGGTCGAACCTCTAGCCTTCCGGATTTGTCTTTAAATTATTATTTTTAGGTACCCATCGAGGACATCATTGAGGAGGAGAAGTCCTCCCGCAAGTCCCCACCCGAATCGGACAAGGAAAAGACCCGTGATCGAGATGTTTCCCTCTCGATGGCACCGCTACCGATACCCTTGGGACCCCTAGGAGGATTTGCAGGTAAACTCGACACTTTCCAAATTCCATTATCTTATTTAAAGCCCCCGATACGAAGCCCGGTTGTAACATATAAACTGTCTGTAAAGACCTGTCCCAGTTTCTATCCCGAAACCCCACAAAAATCCACCTATAAATAATGTTCCCACCGTAACAGTAAAGCAGTGAAACGTCACAAAAAGTAGCTAATTGTAGACAGTACTTCAGAATGGACCAAACATATATATATAAAATATAATACATAATACGGGCGGATGGTATGGAGTGACTTCTCGCCATGTCGAGTGTCCTTATAAACAGCCCGATTTAGCCTAAAAACCCACGTTAAAGTGCAAACCAAACTTTGTTACAACCTACTACTACTAGAAACCTGCACTGCTATGCCTTGTAAACTTCTTACTTGACCCAGCTAAACAATCCCCAGACTAAACTGATCCCAGAAGTATGAATTAACAACCATCTAAAAGATCATCATTTGTGAGGCAACCAAACCATCAATCAAACCCATCATCCCATCACCTGTATTTATCTGTTTCAACAACCATAACTATTTGTCTATCTTGCTATCTCTCTCTACATAAATATGTATATCTGTTTCTCTCTCTCTATCTCTAACATATTCTACTACGCGTCTGCCTGTACTGTACAAAAAATAAAATAACTAACGCTGTCTCTCTCTTTCGCTCGCTCGCTCGCACCCTATTCCGCGCGTACGAAACTGTCTATCTCTGTCACACTATCGAAAACTTCTCGTCTATGCCCAATAATATATAATATCTTCTACAAAACAATGTCGACTCATGAAAAACTGCAAAACTAATACCAAACTAAATTTAAACTCTATCAATCATTATCAGATATCTTTAAGCTAGATCAATTCTTTTCAGACGATGGAAAAATTATTATAATGGCAGGTGATGCACCAACAGCAAATTTTTCATTCGTTACAAAACAAAAACCAAAAAAAAAACAAAAATAAAAAAAAATCAAGAATACAAATTAACATTACATTATGAAGCATTTTTTGCAACATTTCGATTTCGTTACTCAAACTCAAAACAACAATCTTTTTATTAACCTAACATTATGACACCAACAGAAACGTCACACAGAAAAAGACAACAATAGTTCCGCTCGATCACTCAAACTCTATCTCACAGTCCACACACAACTCTCCAAGAGCTGTTCATATATTACGTGATCACTAACCCTAGGTAATCAAGGATTTAAAGGAATTATAGTGCCTTGATACCACCTACGATTTTAGTTTCTTGCATCTTGCTATTGAAATTTTGTTCAATGATCGCGTAACAAATGAACAGCTCTGTGTCACTGTTTAGCATTCCTAGAGTATTTGATTTAGAATAACCAAGCTTTATATCCAGTAGACCTCTGTAGCTTGACCGTCCCTAGTGAGTTAAGTTCCGTTTTGCCATAGATCGATTTTCCCTCGGTTCGGTTGAACTCCTTTTACCCTACACAAAGAAAACTGCGAGTTTAAGTCTGAACACTGCAAGCACAGAATACAACATTATACTGTCTGATTTTTTTAATGCGACCTATGATTTCTCGGTAGGCGGTACTTAGTTCAAATCGTTGAAAAACAGTTTAACGTTTACATATAATCCGCGTAGATCCCCCGATTGGCAGTAAATGAAACCACTTGTTGAAAAGTTGTGCATGAGATACTTTCAGTGAAATTCATTTGTTCCACCTTTTCCTTAAGACACATAGGATTTTCTATATGTATGTACTTGGATGCATGATCTATTTGTGAATGCCAATCAGTTCTGTGTTGACCACTAAAGCCAACTTCATTTTTAGCTGGACTCGCCTCCCGATCGGTTCAGTTCCGACTCTAATCCTGTTTTATACTTCTCTTTACAAAGGTCCTGTGCCGGTGGCCGTGCCCCAACCGGAACCCCACTCCGTGGGCGGAGTGCTCGTCCACATGCCCCACGTCTGTTCCGTATGTATTTCGCTCATAAGCAATCCTTAAGACACATTATGTTCTTTAGTTGTCACTCTTTTATTGACGACCATAATCGAATTCAAAAGTTCTTTACACACAACAAACAAAAAATAATATGAAAAAAAAAAAAAAAAATGAAATAGATATATAAATCAAAATATTATGCGTTGACTGTAGGTATATTGAAACACTCTACATATATCTACTCAATATTTTTGCTATAAATATTCAAATTAATTACAGCAACAAAGCAATACTAAGTTGAAGTGAGCATTCCAGTTGTTTTATTTCCTCGACACACAGTCTGTTTCATTTGATCTTGTGTTGTTCCGTAACACAAATTCGAATTCAATGTTTTTTATTTCCCCAACAATTGACCATCGATAATTGTCCAACGATTATACAAACGTTTTCATTTCTTCACATATTTTTTATAGAATAACGAATATGGGCATTCAGTTGATAGTAATGAATTGAGAAAAGTTCACGCCACAGACGAGGTACTTTGTGCATTCTTAAAAAGAAATACCAAACCAAAAGACAAACAATTCAACCAACAAAAGCTATACAACTTTATTTTAATCTTAAGTTTTTTCATTTTTCCCAATTATGAAACCCTCCTCCGATTCGATAATTGTATAATTCTTTTTTCAATATCTATACTTGTTTATGTCCAGTCAAAAATTGTAATCTTCGTGTTAAGTGTAAATAAATGTACAGAGTATTTTTCCTGCTATTGATTACGTTTTATTTATCATTTAACTTGATACCCATGCTATTTTAATTGAAATTTATTTATAAAAGCAGTCTTAGAGGAATTATTAAAGCACTCTAGTGGAGTTTTCCAAATCTTAGTTAGCCTTAGAGGCATTTTAGCGGAAAACGAAGTCCTAGGAGTTACCAATCTAGAACAAAGTAAAGTGTCCTTAATTTCTGAACGCATAATCTTTTATTTTCTGTGGTTATAATCATTATTAGAGGATAAGACTAGGTCGAAAGACGTCTTACATGGCTAATGGAAAGGTCTCCACAGATGAGCTTTATTAACAGAATAATAGATTCTTTATTCATAGTTTTTATTACTAGTTTTTGTTAATTACTTTATTCAACTACTGTGTCTCAAAGTATCTTGTATGTGTGTGAAAATAAATTACAAGTTATTGTAAAACGAACCAAAAATCGAATAACAAATTTCTTAAATGTACATTTTATTTGTCCGTCTCAATTTTACATACTTTTGTTAACATTGTAAATATTTGCGTTCCGTGATAATTTGTTCACTTAATTCTCCTAATTTGTTCATTGTTAAATAGCATGCTCAATGTACAGCACTGTCCCCAGCCACCAGCAGAGACAATAAATAAGATATTATAAATATTATTCACAGCAATGCACCGAAAATGTATCGAGTTTTTTGCAATTTTAAGTGTGTTCTGTACAAATTTTGATGTAAACTATTTTGTTACCTAACCGAATTACTCGTCCTGAGGACGGCCCGAGGAGTGTAAATGAAATGTCGAAACTCCCCGAACATTGCATTTGTCTAAATGTGTTGTTTATAAGGAATGTAACATACCGCACACACCACGTAAACCCGTGTATATATAATACGATGTAATCCTGTGTAGATCCACGACCCAAGTCACCGAGTGTTAATCCCGTTCCCCGTTGTCTCGTGCAGATCATGACGGCCACAGTAGAGACAGTTTCAGAGCAACTCGACCTGGCCTCCATCCTGCCCACCGACAGGGCCATAGCCCGTATCCTCTCGGACGCGGATGTGGGCAGCGCCAATGTCAGTGTCACCCGGGCCTCGGTCATGGGTGAAAACGGTGCCAATGGCGGAGCAGCGTGTGGCGGCGGTGAGAATGGTAGCGGTTCCGAGGAGGAAGAGGAGGAGGAGGACAGCGACGACTTCTGGCACACCTCCGTCGGCAAGTTTAAGTTCACCCTGGACACGCTGCCCCAGCCGTTGCAGTACATACATCAGCTTCTGACGGTATGGATATTATTTGAATGAAATTGAAACGGATTAGAATGAGGGATATAATTACCTTAATCGAGAATTCAAAGGCGAGATCTCTCCTCACATGACTTTTGTTCACAGGAAATCCCTACCATCAAGAAGCCGGAGATTCTTTACTATGTCCTTCAGTGTCTCAACACAATGGCCCTTCATGGCGATGCTTTGGCTAAGGCCGCTCGGGAGCAGCGTGGCTTCTTCATCTGGTGCCAGGAGAATCTTCTGATCAAGAAGTAAGTAATGACCCAACCCTCAAGAAGATCTCCTGACCCTGAGTTCGCCCTCAGCCTGTGGGAGCTATGCAACGCGGAGCACTCTCACATCTGTCAGGTGGGCGTGCCTCTGCTGCTGCACTGCATCACGCTGCCGCTGGGCTCCGATGTCTTCTGGCGCGTGGTGCAGGAAGCCTTCCACGACACGGACTGGCGTGTCCGCTTCACGGCAGTGGAGCGCGTTACCGTGATTACCCGGTTCATGGACTCGACGCCCCTGCGCTCCGAGGTGGGTCTGCAGACGGCGCTGGCCACCGCCTTTTGTCACCTGATCGCCAGTATGGATGACATCAATGTGTATGTGGCGCAGCGGGCGACCCTGTACATCGGTACCATCCATGACACGGCAATACGGTCGCTGCTCTTCTGCCTGGAGTCGCAGTTTGATCTCTTCATCGTGGACCGACCGGTGGTGCTCCAGTCGGTCTACCAGCTCCACAACTCCCTCTCCGACCGCAAGATGCTCGGCTGGGAGTTCTTTCTCAACCGCTTCGACACGCTCTTTGTGGAGGCACAGATCAGCCTGGAGAAATGTGGTGACATCTCGTACCTGCGGGATCTGCGAAACTCGGACAATGGCAGCGAGGCGCTCTCGGCCAAGATCCAGAAGGCCCGCGAGGCACTGAACCAGTCGGACACCAGTGGCAGCATGGCCAAGACGCTGAGCGCCTCCTTCGGCACCAAGTGGCCCTATAAACGGACCATGTCCGCACCGGCCAGCATGGCGCCTCGTCAAGACAGCAAGTTTGGTGAGTTTATCGTAACGGAAAGGAGGATTTCCAACTAAGACTATGATATTCCCTCTCCCCTTGCAGTGCCCGAGAAGGAGAAGATCTACAGCCGGCAGGTGTCTGCGCCGATCCTCAAGCGGAAGACCTCGCGTTTCGGACTGGGTCAGTTCCTGGGCAGTAGTAGTGGGGGTGCCTCTGGCAGCAGCCAGGCGGCGAATCCAGCAGCAACGGCAGCGGGCTCCACACGACCCAAGCCGCCGCCTTGTCCTGTCCACCACACGGCCTTTCCCTACCACCACCACCACCACCCGCATCCTCACGCCCACCCACACCCTCACCCACACCACTCCTACCCACACAACCACCACCACCTGTCACATCATTATGCCGGTAGTAGTGCACACGTAGCCACCAGTTCCTCCTCCGCCGGCATGGTCTCGGCGCACAGCCAGAGCCACCAGTACCTAGTGCATTGCGTGCCGCCCAGCCACCACAGTCCGATGCCCACGCTGCAGGAGGCGGAGACGCTGCTGCGCTCCCAGGCGGCCGCCGATGCAGCCGCAGCCAGCGGATCAACCGCCCAGGAGGCAGCGGAAGCGGCAGGAACGGGGGCAGCTGCGGGAGTTACCAGCAGCAGCACAGGGAATCCGATTACCCCCCACTCCTTTCACTCCCACTTCCAAAAGCATCCATCGGCCCCCAATTTGCTGCCCCCGCAGTCAGCCATCGTGCCGGCCCCCAGTCCCAGCCCCTCGACTCTGGCCTTCCCCCTGCACTGCACCTGCGATGCCGCACCCCATTCGCATCCCCAGCTCTCGGGTGCGGCGGCCACCGGCGGCACGGCGAACCCAGGTAGGTGATAGAGCATGTGTGTCCACCGTATCTCTGTGTTTGCTCTGTGTGACCCCTTCCTTCAGTGGTGTCTGATGATCGGTGTCTTAGCGGAGAAAATAATGTGTGGTGTGCCACTCATAAGGGATCTGCAATAATGATTTCCAAAATATCAAAAAATCGTACCTAAGTTCGAGTGTCTATTGCTATATTCGAATTATTTAAATAGTCAATCTTACTATTTATAATTTTATAGTTCTTATTGCTGAGGGAATGGAACTTAAAAGCACTTTATTTAAAGAAAAATTCAACTTTTGAACTGAAAAGAAATGAATTTTAAACATTTCTTAAGATAATCTTGTTGTAATACTTTAAGTTTTAAATATATTTTCCTTATGAGTGGCATATCCATTAATTGTCGGTGTTCATTAAGCCTGTTCTGTATATTAAACTCATTTCAACTCATGATGATCAATCAGAATGAGATTTCCATTTAAAAGATATTAATTTTACAAAAAAAAAAAAAAAAAACAAACAATTTAAAAAACATATTGGCACGTTTATTTTTTCCATCATTCTTTTTAAGAGAAAAATTTGTATATTAGTTCTTACAATTATATATCATATTTAATAAGCTTGTCATACATATTATTTATTATACTATATCGTGACTACAGAACGTTTATATAAGGCATTGAATAATAAGCAAAATTAGTATATTGAACTACTTTGTTCGAATAATATATATTTTTTTTATTTGAGTTTTTATATCCTTGCAAAGATTATTATTTTAGTTTGAAGCTTAAGAAGAAATTTCCGACCCTATAACCCATATATATTCTTGATCAGCATTAAAATCCGAGTCGATCTAGCTATGTATGGTCAGAATTTAATTTTTTCCAAATTTTTAAAAATTTTATAAGGGGTTACGTAAAAATTTTCACGAATTCATAAAAAATTAATTCTCTGTATCTTTAAACTAATAATGCAGATTTGTTAACATAATAAAAACTAGCATTGGATAGCTTTCCGAATTGAAATTAATGTAATTTTGGCTTAGTTATGATGATTTTCGTGATCTAACTGTAATGGTTAACTTGTCCCTTTTTTGTTAAAGTAATTTTGTTTTATTTTTTAAGGCAGAACAAAATAGAAAAAGCCCGAAAAACAGACTCACGTTATATTATTATATTTATATACATATTTACAGAACATTATTTACCATCTAACTATCAATTAAACCATATTTCGCTACTCTATAGATCTGTATTATCTTATTCGTTCATATATAGTTGTGTGTGTAACTCTGCTTTTATCCAAAATGTCATTTTAAGTGTGTTCCCCCTCGAACTGGTACGTATGCTCAACATCTCTACCGCGGACCTCTCTCTATCTCTACAAAAGAACATTGTGTTTCTTTCATCCTCAACCTCTCTTTTCTGTCTCCTATAACTCCCCACCAAAATTTAAAATTAATTCCTATTGGCCTTTGCTCAACAGAGACTTCACTGTACATTATACAAGACTCGTACAAATTTTTAAATCTACAAATAAGAAAATCAATCTAATTGTGAAATTGGCATGTGGCTGTAAATGAAAACCAAAACAAAAAAAGAAATCAAAAAGATATTGGTGTTTTTCCCTATTCCTTTCTATGCAGATGTAAAGTTTCCACTATATAATATCATTTCTTTAAAGATCCTATTTTTCAAATTCCATATAGATGGTCACATCCACTCGTTGGGCGGCTTAAACGATGAGAACCTCATCGGTTTGCTCTCGAGGATCACAGAGCTGGAGGAGTCTGATCGGGAAACCATTCACCTTCTCGTCTTCATGCTCATGCAATTCATGTCTCGCACGGATCAGGCATTCCCCTCGGAGGAGAAGCCCGTGACCAAGACCCAAAATATAGTATTGAAGCACCTTTTCCTGTTGCTCGGCCACAACCAGATCGACAAGACCTTCCACACAACACCAGAGTCTTTAAGGTGAGAGTCATGAAGAAGTTGAGATATATAACTAACATACTATTTTCTAGGGTCTCGGCCGTGTTCAATGCCTTTTTGGCAAACCTGCCGCAGGTCCTGGACCAGAACCACCTGATCGGTGGCCTCATTCTGCCCTCGGTTATGCAGATCATATTATATGCTCCCAATCCGACCAGCACCACGGGCGAGTACCAGAATATTGTCTTTAACTACTCTCTATGGCACTTGGAGCAATATCCGCGCCGCAACTGGCTCTTCACCTTGCTGGTTGTGCTCTACAAGTACTCCTACACCCAACCTCCACTCAGTGGCTACGTTATCTCGGCCATCCGGATGATAATGAACAGTCTGCGCGGCCACTTCCATCAATGTCGCCGGATTCCCACTACCACAATTCTGGACATACAGGGCGTGGGCGGAGCAGCTCGCTCACGGGACGTCAGTCAGCCCTCGCTGGGCACCGATCCGGACGACAAGGAGGCCAGTCCGCCGGCCAGCCCCATGTTCCCCTCAGAGGGAACCAGTGCCGCCTCCAAGAGCAAGGGCCAGAACGTGGCATTCACGCCAAAGCTGCAACATGCTTTCCGGAAGTACAATGACTCCAGCCTGGATGCGGATGAAACGGAGTCGGAGCTGGTGGCCATACCCGAGAGCGATCTTTCGGACAGCACTCTACATGGCAGCAGTGCACCGGTAGGTCTCCAGTTCTTATACTAATTACATTATTTAATACAATTTATTATTTACTTACAGGGATCCTTTGACGACACCATACATTTCGAGGATGTTATGCCAAGGAATCGTCGAACCCTTGAGTACACCGAGGAGGTATGTCCAAAAATTCCATTAAATGTATATGATATAGAAGAACGATTGTAATCCTTTCAGAAATCCACCAAATCCCACAAGTCAATGATCACCACCAAGGTGGGCGATACATACACCACCAAGATCAAGGCCACCACTACCAGTGAGACCCTGGTAACAACCCACACAAGGCATAGCCTGCAGGAAGGCGTCCGCATGATAGTCACCCCACTGGTGGGTGCGGAGACCACTGAGACGGCCATTGTGAGTCCTCCAGTGGATGTTCATCGAGCTGTGACCGTACGCAACAAGTCGCTGGAGAACGCCGCCGCTTCCACTTCAAAGATGTTTGCCGCCATAGCCACGAATCATCTTAAGGCTCTGGGAGCCCTACAAGATGTGCCGACCACAGCGGCGGTGGAAAAGAAGGCAGGATCCAGCAGTGGCAGTGGCAGTCGTTCAGCCAATGGCAATGGCAGTGGAGGCAGTGCTCCGGCTGCCGTCCAGGCAACATCCTCAACAGCAGCTCCCACTGTGGCCACCAAGCCCATTGGACGTCACAAGACGATCGTGGAGTGCAGTGCCGGGAACTCAAGCTCCTCGGCAGATGACTCGCGGCAAAAGAAATCCCAGACCAAGTCCTTAAAGCGCACTGATAAGAACTATGGTTCGCCAGAGTCGCCGCTTTCCAAGATGAGCGTGATGCCAAACCCGCGGGATGAGGTGGACGAAGGAATGCAGACCTTGCCGCCACCCAAGAGCATTGCCGCCCTGGAGATTCCCACTCCGGAGCGCCTTCTACCCATTGGTACCCAGGACTCGGTGGCCACGCTGGTGGAGCGGGTTAGGGATGGCCTTAACATCCCGGATATAAGTCATCTTAAGCAGGACAGTCTGGATGTGTCGGAGAGCACCAAGGACGACGTTACGCCCAGCAGTCGTACCAACTCCCCCCGTCGTCTCATTAAGCAGGTGGCCTTGGAGTCACCACCAAACCCAAATGCTCAGCTACCCTCCCAGCCCCCGGCTGATCTTCACACCTCCATCTTGAAGAATGTTCAACAGGAGCTCAAGCAGAATGCGGGTGCTAATGGCGGTGGAGGTCTGACCACCAGCAACAGCATCAAGCGGCCTCGCCAGAAGCTGGCCCCTTTCAATGTGGACACCAATGCCATTCCGGACATCCGATCTCGCTATGCGGGCTCCTGGCCTCCGCCACCCTTTCAACCCGTGGATACCGAACCTGATGACGATGGAGATGAGATTGGGGCTGAGACTACAAATGGTCATGGAGCGCAGTCAACCTCACATGCTGGGCGTGGGGTAAGTTTATACATATTACTAAAACTAGGACCTGGATAAAGCTAACTAAACAAAATTTTAAACCCAATCCCATCTCCCAAGCAGCAGAGCTCCCGCCGGGTAGGTGACTACACCATCGTAGAGCGTTGCTCGGATTGTGGTGCCCATATTGAAGAGTATACAGACGAAGAGATTGGAATTTTCATCGTTATCCTCGGCACCTTTATCCACCGTGAACCCGCTATGGCAGCTCCATTCCTGCCCGAGATTCTGACCATGACATCGCGGTAAGTTCACTTCAGATTTTAAGTTCCTCCTTAAACTTCAAACTTCGCTCTGCCTTTCAGCATCTGTTTGAGCTGCACCCATGCCTGGCAGGGCGAGATTGGTCCACCTTTGGCCAGCAGTGCCCAGGCGGTGGCTCTCCAATTCTTCCGCTGCATTCTCCACCAGCTGGCCCCCAATGGTATCTTCCTGCAAGTTTTCCAGACCCAAATGAAGAGTGAGTAATGATCATACGAGTTTAGAGGAATTGTTTTGACCACGACCACTTCCTTCTTCCAGTGAAAATACGCCACAACCATTTCCGGAGTATTGCCAAGGCGCTGCAGGATTTCCAGGATCTAAATGCCACCAGTCCCATTTACATGGTGTGCGAATCGCTGACGTCCAAGAAGGCGCTGCCTGTAGACCAGCTGCCTGTGATCTTCCGCAACATGGCCGAGTATCTCAACCTCCAGTGTGTGCCGGCCGAGGCAGGTGTGGGCTTGGCCGTCTGGTCACAGGCCATGCAAGCCATGGAGTCGCTACTGCGCCAAGTTATCGTGATCATGCCTAGCCTGAGCAATGCAGAGTACATGCTGGACATTATTGCGGCCACCTTGAGGCTCAACTGTGTTCCGAAAACGCTACTCGATCCATACTCCAAGATCATGGCCTACTGTGTGCAGCACACAAATCTGGAGTACCAAACCCTCTACGAACTGTGCACCCTGAACACTCGCTCCTTTAGCAAGGATCGCGACAAGAACCTGCTGTGCCGCCAGATGATTTTTGAGTTTGTCCAGGCCCTCAAATTCAAGTCGAATATCCCGGATCATAATCTCCTCACAATCGTCGGGTTCGTGCTGCTCGATGCCGGGGGTACGTTACCGCCAGGATCTGCTCCTGGCCTGCCCGATGCGGCTCCCATGCTGACCACCAATGCAGCCGATTGCTTGAGGCAGTACATCAACGACGTGATTGACTTCCTGGCCGACTTCCATACGCTCAGCAAGATTAAGGTAGGAGGTCACTTCAAAAAATAGATTTTAATTGACAAAAATTTTTCCCTACAATTTTAGAACTTTAAGAACGGCCAAGCCAGCAATGGCCTTGGAGAGGACACCTTGGGTGGGGTACTAAAGGGAGCGGTGGCTCAATACCTGGCCCTAGAGATGTCGCGAGGCAACTCCCGGGACAACAAGGCCGTATCCCGATATCTGCCTTGGCTAAACAATGCTCCGTCCTCTTTGCAGCAGGGGTAAGTCCACTTTGCGGGTGCCAACTCTAGAATTTTCATAAAATATAATCTTCTTCCCAGGCCCAAGGAGTTCACCGAGTGCGTGGGCCACATGCGTCTGCTCTCCTGGCTCCTGCTCGGCTCCCTTACCCACATGGCTTTAATGCAGCGTCGCCAAGAGACGCACACCATACCCACGCCCCTGCCCCCGAATTCAGCACCCGGCCAGGGAACAGCTGGTGTCCACTATCAGCACCAGGGAGTGACCTACTCGCAGCCAGTGCCACAGGAGGCTTCCTGCCACATTGCCGATCACATTCAGGTGATCTTTGCCGGGTTTGCGGAACAATCGAAGACCTCGGTGCTGCACATGTCCTCGCTTTTCCATGCTTTTACTCTGTGTCAACTATGGACCGTATACCTGGAGCAGATGGCCCATAACACGAACAGCAATGCCGAGGGCAGCACGCTAGGAGTGCTCTTCGAGTTCTGGGCTAAGGTCACGCCCTGCATCCTGCAGCTGGTGTCCCATGCCAAGCCAACGGTCAACAAGGACCAACAGCCGACCACCATGGACTTCCAGACGCAGAGCGCCAACTCCAAGTTGTCTGAGATGGTCAACCTGCACTTCCTTAGTCTACTGGAGGCGCTTAAGGACACCAACTCAACGGTGCTGGGAAAACTGCTGCCCATGTGGAGTCCCGTACTCTCCTCGCAGACCCAACTCTCAGATACTCTGCACGTCCGTCTGCAAAATGTGCGGGACTATGCTCCGGATTACGAGGAGCAGCAGGCCCTCAAGTCAGAGGCGCTGTTGAAGTGGCTCCAGCGACTCCAGTTCAAGATGGGGCAAATCGAGCTACAGGCCTCCACGGCCACACAATTCTATTCTATATAAAGAGCACAGGCACCTAGTGAGTTATGCCAGTAGTAATAATCTTATTTAGTAATTGTTGCCTACGCCAAATAAATAGTTCACAATGTTTGTTTGTTGGAAAAAACCCAGGAGGAGCTTACTCGAAAACTGTGTAGTGAATGCCGCTAGTGCCTGTTGCCTTATCCTGGATCGTCGGATCCTGCACTTCGTTGGACTCGCTGGCCCCTGGCCTGCCCTCGATGAGAAAATGTGGCTGGGGGTTGCGATAGTGGCGAAAGGATTCCTTTGATTTAATTACTGCTTCATCAGGATAGTTTCTTGATTCCTTTAGTTTCGCGAGCCTCTGTTCAGCCTGCTGAATGCGGAGCTCCTGCGGAATTAAGTTTAAATAAGACATTTCGAAGGAAATTATTTAGAATCTCACCTTGATCTTTTGCATAAAGTGTAACTGAAGTGCCGCCGATTCCGCCAGGGGCACCAGCTGCACTTCCTTGTGCTGAATTAGCGGGGGAGTGGCCGCCGTCACCTCCCAGTGCTTGCCCTTCTTGCGCACACGCTCCTTATCGGGATCGTGGACATTAGATGTCGTGGTGCGAAAGGGTCTAAACTTCTCTCTTGCCGGCGGATGTACGTTTCCCTCTGTTTTGTCAATGAGATAGAGGGCGTGCTGGTCGACATGCTGCTCCTTGGACAACCCTTGATCTATGATCTCAGCGGGCTGTGAACTAGTGTCACTGTGACCAGCAAGGGCAGAATCCGGGGAATGGGAAGGTTTCTTGAACTCTTCAATGTCTGCCAGATCAGCAGCTGTAATTAGACTTTCAGGCGGTGGCAGTACTTTTACTCGTTTTTCATGCATGGTGCCTTGGGCGATGATGCGCAAGGGATCCATCTCTACCTCGTCGTCACTGTCCAATATGTCGTCCACATGGGCGCCCTCATCCATAGTTCTACCATTCCACTCTAGATTATTCAGAGCCACCTTTCCCTTCTCCGCAATGTTGAGACCGCTGAGGAGTCGGGTAGCCTCCTCCACTTCATCCCGGCGCTTGATTTCATCCAGGAGCTTGGCATACGAGTCTAGTAGACGCTTGCCCTTGTCCGGCAACTGATGCAGACGCTTACTGGCCCGGAAAAAGCGGGAGAGTAAGTGTAAACTCCACAGGTTGACTATGAACTCACGTGGACGAAATGAAGTGCCCCTGCCTGTCCCTCATTTCCAATAACTGGACGCGGGTGAGGCTCTTCAAGTCCTTGCAGTGCTGCTCCTTCACCTGGCTGGAGCCAGGAATCCGGTTTAGCGGTGCAAAATTGCGGTGTTCGTTCATATTCGCTTGAAGCTATTTCATTTATTTTGGTTTCTCAGCTGTCAGTGTGACCATTACTTGGACGAAGACAAGTTCCATCGATGGCTTCGCTGACCAGGGCTACCTGAATTTATCGATCACTTAATATCGCCTATATTTAAATTTGAAATTTCAACACCTTAGGAAAAGTTTTGTTGAGTTTCCTTCAGCAATTATAATATTCCGCTATTCAAAGCTCAAAATTTCGTACCCAGCAGGCTTTCCAAAAAACTCTAACAGCTCACAATTTATACATATTCACAACGTACTACACATGCCGAATTCAGCCGTAATCTACTCAGGTGTCTACGAATTAGATCGACTTCGACGGCGTCGCGATCGCCGGGTACAGGAATACATTCATCACCGTTCCCGTCGAGTCTACCAGCCGCCGCCTCCCGTTACCATGTGCCGTATCATAAAATATCTGATCTACATCACAATCTTTTTTGCTGTGCTGGCACTAGTTACAGGTGCAATGGTGCTTTTGATAATTCACTTCCGCTTACCGGCTGACAAGCCGGCAGTGACCAAGATACCCGGCCTCTGCACCGTGCCCGGAACGCATGTGGGCGACGAGAAACATATTGTGTTTGGCCACAACCTCATTAAAGAGATGGCCGCCTTTCGACGGGAGATAGATCGTCATGTTGATGAATTCGGAATCGTTGGACAAAAACGAATGACGGAGTGTAACACAGACCTCTTCTGGGGCTATGCCACCGGTAAACCTTGCATTTTGCTGAAACTTACCCAGTCGCTGGGCTTTAAACCTATAACATACAACTCTGCTTTGGATCTACCGGAAGAAGCTCCACATGATGTGTTTTACCACGTAATTGCACGTCCCAAAGATCAGCGGGTTAACCGCATCTGGCCGGCTTGCAAAGTACAAGAGAATGACGGATTAAACATCAAGATCAAATATATTCCGGAACGTTACTTCGAAATAACTGATTTGTTCACAACCTATAATACCTCCTCCAAGAACCTGGATGAAGGCGATGACGAAGATCCTGGCTTGAAGCGCTTTATTGGTGTTCAATTCCTTAACATCCCGCCTAACCGCGATATATTTATCGATTGTCAAGTATGGGCAAAGAATATCCCGCTGAAGGCAGGGTCCGCCAAGTTTAGATTGCGCTTAGTTGAACCTGTTCCGCCAAAACCTGAAGTAATTGACGATTTGGAAAGTTAAGCGATTTTTTAAATATATATGTAAATTAAGAACTCTTATCCTTTACCTGAATAAAAAATCATCAAGAAATGTTTCTTTTATTAATAAAAAATTGACACTTTCAGAATGGTCCCTACATGACTATTTAGAAAATTAGTCATTAATTTGTATAGGTACTAACAGAAGTATTCGCACTTTAGAGAATTCCCTTAATATCTGTGGACCACTGACCACCTCTATATTAATCGCACCATATCTACATTGAATAGTTTTTCAGATACTATCGCTAAGTGTGACCGCAGCACAACCAATATCAAAATCGTAAAGTCGATAGTTATCGAAATCGAAATATTTTTGCATGAACATCGAACCTTAACTCCGACCGACACGCAGTAACTTAACAACAAAAACTCATTACTAATATTACTGCTGTCGATTTAGTTAGCGCGAAACGATACCGAGCTCAGGCAACCAGCGCTACCGCAAGTTGTACGTCAGCATTCCTGTAATAAATTATCGGCATATGAAATAGTTGCGATTCCGCTTGGAAGTGTGTGAGTGCGTGTGCTTCTGTGGATGTGTGTGTGTGTGTGTGTGCATATGACTCGTGTTTTTTTGCCGACAATTGGAGAAAAAATCAAGGAAACTAAAGTTTCCAACTAAAAAGCCGCTAAAACGGTGGCGTAGAAGTCATAAACATAAACAACTGTGCGAGCGCAGAGTTCTAGCATTTGGCATCGAGTCGAACGGGACCTGCAGATATATAAATTAAATATAGCAAGTGCGTGCGAAGGTTACGCGTCGAGTGCAAGTGCATTTGCATATGTTTGGAACTTGTAAAAAGAAAGTTCAAATAAAATCTAATGCTATATTCTCGCTCTCCCCCTTTCTATCACCGTATTGCCGCCCCTCGAAATCTTCTGCCCGCAGCGATTCAAGGAGGAAAGGACAACTTGAAATATTTGGAAAAGATGCAGATCAAAGAATTGTGAGTATTGACATTTTATTCAGCTTACCTGTGATTATTAAATTTCCCTAAAAGCCGTGCAAGCCGCCAAAGGTTTGTGACAAATCGATTTTCCGCTCTCTCCGAGACTCCCGCTCTCCCTCTTTCAGTGAGTGCGTCTCTGTCGCGTGTCGCCTCTCTTTCACTCTCTTAAGAACTCTGGCGTCTTGTCGGCTGTTTGTTGCTGTTGTTGCTTTTGCAATTAAGCTTGCGGGCATTTTCCACAAGAACAACAACAAAATATTGTTCTTATCAGCCCGCTCCTCTCTCTCCGCCACCCCGTTTGCTTTTGCTCTCGCAATCTCTTCGTTGCCCACCATGCAGCTGTTTGTGATGACGTAATGAGTTTCAAGTTGGAATCGAAGCTACGTAAGCAAGTTTCTACGTAAGCCAACGTAAGAATCGCAAAATATACTTGATTCTAATGGCTTTCATGACTTTCCGTTTTTTTTTTTTTTTTTTATTATTATTTTTTTGTTTAGCGTCGCCACGTTGTCGCTTTTGTGTGACTCACGTCGCTCTCTTTTGCGCCTCTCTTTAGGTTTTCGGCCCAGCTTTCGGCAAAATTTAATCAAACAAGTTGTTAAAGTGCGATAAGGTCGTTGCGTAAACGAATCCGATAACCGCCACTCCGTTAGTCACTCTTGCCCAGAATCCTTTCTTATATCCAAATAGTGCCACCCGAATAAGCCGAGGCTTTTAAATTTGTACACAAATTAAATGATAACATTTATGGTATGTATTTTTACGCTGTTTATCGCGGTTGTATAAAAAATACATGCACACACTGAGACTCTCTCTTTAACCCGCATAGAAATATATCTTTTTATACCCTGGCCGGGTATCACAGTTTTAGTCAGAAGCTTGTAACGCTGTGAAGGAGTCATTTCCGACCCTAGAAATATATTACTGATCAGAATTAAAAGCCAAGTCGATCTATCCATGTTCGGTAGAAAAATAAATTTTCAAAATTTTAAAAGGGGTTACATCGTTAAAATTGTCAAAAATTTGCAAAAATTTTTAATTTTTAATTGAGTATGCAGATTTATCAAATTCATAAAAACTAGCATAGGAACGCTTTCAGAAGAAGAATTAATGCTTTTTTTGGCTTAGTTATGCGTTTTAAAACTTTGATAATATATGCATATAAAAATATCTATTAAATGAATTCGTATATTTTAAACTTTATGGGATTTCAAACTGCAAGTGTATATTATCTTCGGCTTCCCGAAGTTTTTTTCCCTTGTTTAATTTAAATTTTATTCACTCTTATTTGCAAAAAACTCACACACGTCTGTATTTCTCTATAGGACTGAGTGCTTTTGTATTCCCATCCATCCTCACATTTGCCAAAGTTACTTTTTATTCATTAACAAAAATGGGGAACAAAAACATGGCGAAAGGAAATTGCCGAGTTAATAATTGATTTTGGCTTTGGCAGCTGTTGGAAAGCCAAGGTCATACAAAACAGATTGCACGTGGAAAAGTCGTACTGCAAAATCACACAATTCTTATCGCTTTTTATAGCCGGCGTTACCCTTATCGTGCACATCAATCTGGTTATAAGCTACGATCGACTATATAAAGGGTTTGTTTCAGATAACTGATTGATAAGGCTGGCTTCTCGTCTTACTGTTAAAGTCCCAGGTAGTTATTTGACAGGAAAATAGAAATACCAAGTAACCTAGTCATACAAGCAAAATATTGGAAGGAATATTGGGCCTTGACTTAAGGCCCCGTCTTAAAAGAGACTTTATACAAATAAAAATGAATGTCAGGGATAGCTATGTGTATTAGATTCTGATCAGATTAATTCAATACGTAATTATTGTAACAAAAGAACTGTTTACAGAGCTATAAGTGAGTCCGATATTTGACTTGAAGTCACAGATTAGCAACTTGTGCTAATTAGAGTAGCTACAACATTCTCCGTGTGCACCGGCGATTTGTGTATATTTAGCTTTTAGTGCCATTACGTGCCCATATTTGTAGGCTGAAAGTATACAATTCAGCTTTGTGAGAGCCTTTAATGAAATTCCTGGTATTATAGTCCCCATAAGTTGACAGAAGTAATGCCATAAATGTTTAATTGTTATTGATGTCGTAATTTCCACACCGAGAGCCTTTTGCCTTTCGCATTTCCAAATGCCTTTTCCTGCCAGATTTTTGCATTTTTCCGTCGGCCTGCTGTGGGAGTATAAACCATTTGGCGCACTGAACATTTCAACGCTACAATTAAATAAAAGGAAAAAAGAATGTGGGAATAAAGGCAACGTGTGCCGGGTGGTGGTGGCAGATCGCCTCAGGTGGATAAACAATTTTAAATGGCCACGGGGCAGAGTGGCAACATGAATCAAAAGCGATAGGCTGCACTTTGTATGTTTCATCTGATAATGTGTGCAGTCGGTCAACACTTTGTTTACTATAAAAAAAGATCGTACTATATTTATTTTCACAGTAATGTGAGCAGCAGTTCATGAATATCAACAAATAATTGGAATTGAAAACGTTGGGTACGACCAAATTCTGTAAGGTTTCCGTAGACTGTTTTATTTAAATTTTAAACCTTTTCAACTAATGTTTTTCATCCATAAATGTACATACATTAGAGATTTAATTTTGCCCATCTCATCGTTATAAAATACAGAGTTTTTAACTTTTAACCCGCTTCAACTTTGATCTCTGAAAGGAAAAGCTTGTTTCAATGTCAATCCACCTCGGCATGGCACTCGTCATAAAGTTGCTCTGGCGTGACTTTTACTGACCCAACTGATTGGAGCACTTTGTATCCCCTACACATATATCTGTCGGATACCCTCCCCTTTTGGTCTTCTCGTCCATTCCGCCGCAATCAATTCGAAAATGGCACGAGCTCCAATTTAGTTCCGCCATTTGCGTTTTTTATGTTCCGCGATAAGATAACAGACAGCGTTTGGTTTTCGGTTTGTATTTGTGGTTTCCAACTCATACACACTCCTCGAGAGAGGGAGAGAGAGAGAGTGTGTGTGTTTAGTTTAAGTTATTTCGTTACAAAAATTGTTGGCAATTGAGTGTGACGCTTGACTGTTGGTTTGGCTCAAAAAGAGGTCTGGAAAGAGTTGGCCAAAGTGTGTTATTTACTACTTAATGGCTCTTAAATTTTTAAACAATTACTTTATTACTTTTAGGTTTTTTCATAAGCTACTCATGTCTTTCATCAGGTCTTAAGTTAGCTTTCTTTAAGCGACCTTGAATTGTTTCTTATAAAACTAAACAGGGTCTAAGTACAACCTGAATATCGAAACCAGATAAATGTTGTGATAGCTCCATTTTAAAACAGCTGTATACCAAAATCTGCTGTTTGACTTGAACCTTGATCTAAGTCTGTAATATGGTCTTTCTAGCAAAGCAAATAACACATTCGAATTAATTCAAATATTGACTAAATGTATATACTATTCCATGCGGAATATTGTGTAGTTTTCTTTTCGTTTACTCATGCCTTACAAAATGTGTGTAACAAACCAAATCATTACGCAAAAGGCTTGCGTTAAAAGCTTTAGTTTTCTGTGGATTTGGTTGAATGAGTCAGTGTCAAGGCATTTATTAAGCACAATGGCAATCTCTTTGTGACATCTTTATTGCGGGGTAAATCAATTATTACTGGCCTTTCAGTTTTGGACGGTCCCCAAGAGCCTTGGCCGAGAGCTTTCTACTTGACCTCCACGACGCAGCCCACACACACACACACTCTCGGGTAGTCCCCCAAACACAATCACTTTCCATTTTCAATTATGGCAACAAAACCCAAACAATTTCCCTTGTTTACGGACACCAGAGAGGGGGCCAAAAGTGGTCAGTGGGGGACCCTTGAGTGTGTTTCTTTTGGGCCACATTGGTCTCATTAAGAGTTCTTCAATATTCCGCCGCCGCTGCTGCTGTTAGTGTTTTCCGCCAACCCTTCGCTCTTAACCTCTCTCTCTCTCTCTGTCATATGTGGCGATTTCTTTTATGTTTCTGTTTTTGTTTTTGCATAATTTGTTTATTGCTCCCATTGTGCTCTGATTCATGAAAACCCTCGCAAAAAAATATACCATTATATCGTTTGATCTTTCGAAATTTGGGATATTGTGACCCAGTTGGATGTTGTTATTTCCCTTCATCCCTTGCTGGAAACTTATTTACTTACTTATTTGTATTTCTTTCTTTTTATTTGTCACAAAATCACGTATTGTGTCGCCTCTGTTCTTGGGTGTCTTTGTATTTTGTTATTATTACCTTTTATTTTAGTATTTTCTTGGAAAAGTAAGCTTAATAAAGTGTGTCTTATGACAATTTATTTGTGTTAAAGTTGTACCATTTGAAATAACGAATAAAGTTGTAAGACATAAAAAATTAATGATTTTGATAAGAATTATGTATAGCTTAGTTGAAAATTGGTTAGTTTTTATAAATATAACATTTAAACGTTTTAAAAACTAATATCACATTAAAGCTTAAAGTCTGACATTTTATAAATTCATAAAGTTAAACAAAAGTATTACATACGCTCATTTGAACTTCAAATGCATGAAGCGCAAATGATTAAGTAAAGTTTCACATAACTTCTTTAATAATTAAACACCACAACACAGTGTTTAAACTTGCCCCGAGTCCCTTTATAGTTCCAACTTTGCGGATTCCATACACCCCGCCCGGCTGAATCATTCATCTTGTTTTCGGGGAAATCCCCCGATGAACTCGGGGCAAAAGTTAAATCTCCCCCTCTCACCTCGAGCGTTGCTCGGCGAACTTTAACCTTTTTAGGGGCGGTGCATAGTTGGCCAACTTTGCAGGAGGCCCAGTACATTAAAGGCTTAAAGTCCCTCTGGCCACACCTACCAGTTGCTCAAGTCGGCTGGCAATTAGGAAGCACATCATTATGAGTGTCAACAGAAGACCAAAAGGTTAATTGCGCCTGCAAGACGCGTGACAAACAAAAGCAGGAAGGAGGTCCCCTTTTCAGGATCCGTTCCCTCACCTACGACACTTTGATTGTTCTCCAGTCGTGTCGTGTTTTCTGCTGCTGTGTTGCATTGTTTGGTGTTTATGTACATATAAATGTAGTGTATATGGTATACGGATTGCAACTCATAAAGTCCAACCAGCACGGAGCTTGCCTGCTTTATGGCCAAGGAGCTTCCGTTCACACCTTGCCAATGTCGTGGGGGAAAACTCCGAATGCATGCCAAGGATACCCCGCCTCATAGGAGCAATTTATCCTTTTACTTTCCGGAAAACATTTTATATGAAAACATGAGGTCTCTTGACTATCCGTTGATTACAGTTTGTCACTTAAATGATAATTTTAAAGAAAATGAGTTTTTTAGTTGGAAATTGTTTTAATCAACCTTTTTTAGGACTCTGGTGGGAGTCGATATTATATGATTATTAACAAGGAATTATGTTCATAAAACTGAATGGAATTTGAAGTTTCTATTTTATAAATAATGCTTAGAGTTGCTTCTTGGATTTTATATATTGAATAATTGCTGTAGTTAAACCTCTTTGGAGAGGAATACAAATATTGCACTGAGAAAGTAATATTTGTAGAGACTCTGTTTTTAAATTATTTTCCCTAGTTTAAGAAAACTTTAAAGAGCATTCTCTCAACTCGTTGGAATTTAACTGCTACAGCTTGGGAATTAAAATGTTGCCTGCAAAACCGCGACAAATGTCAAGCGATGTCAACGAGTTTCAAGGCTGTCATAATTATATGGGGCACCCAAAACATTTCCTGCAGCTTCCGTTGCTTGCGACCTTTTTTGTTATTTTGGTAATTAAAGGATGAGTGTTTTTGGCCCCGAAGTGGGTGGGTTGCGTTGGTTGAAGGCCGCTTATACTTATGCATGCAAATAAAATTAGAAAATGTTTGCAAAACTATTATGTTGCCAGCATTTCAGAAATGCATAACTGCAGCATTCTGCAAAGCAACGCCCATTTATGTAGTATTTTAATTAAAAATAAATCATTTAAATGTTTCAAGAGTCTTGCTTTCACACAATTAGGTTGGATTTTGTTGTTGCCATATTATTTGCCATCGGGTAAGCCAACTAATTCCAATGTTATCTCAACAAGTATCAATAAACTTCAATTGATTGTGATTAGACAGATGGTCATTCTGGCAAGTGGCCGAAGATAGTATCTTCCCTTTAATGCTGCATACTTTAGGGCTCGAGTTGAGTGCACAGAATGTGTAAAATTAGTGTAATTATGCAAATTTTGTAAGCAAATGTCCTTATGTCGCAATTAACCTTTGTATGTTTAGTTAATTTATCTTTAAATATGAAAGCCTTTGAAATAATAACACAATAGTTGAGTCACTTATCAAAGTAAACTTTAACCAAAAAGCTCTCAGTATGGCAACTGACTTTAATTGTTATTAAGCAAAGACTCAAAAGCCATTTTAATTTCATATTTAACGATATGTTTGAAGCCTATATAACCCCATACTATCAAGGGTGTCTGTTTCTTTTTATACACAGGCCTGATATTTAATTAAAACTGTTATAACAAACTTAATTAAAACGTGTATCCTTTACGCATATACATACATATATATTCGCTCGCACTGACAGTGTCATCCTTTGTTCTTTTTTATCGTTGCAGCCGTGTGACCTTGCCATTAACTGTGGAAGAGGTGAGTCCTGATGGAAATTTCTGATGAAAGCCCAGAGAATAACTTTCCACTTCTGGTATCTTTTATTTTATCCCCTGCCACAGTATCAAGTAGCACAATTATTCTCGGTGGCCGAGGCATCAAAAGAGAATACGGGCGGTGGCGAGGGCATCGAGGTGTTAAAGAACGAACCCTTCCATGATGTTCCCCTGCTGGGTAAAGTATTTTGCAAATTTATAATTGAGAACTCACAACTGACACATCGTTTCCGTTGTTTACTGCAGGTGGAAAATACAACTCCGGGCAATACACATATAAGATCTATCATCTGCAATCAAAAGTTCCAGCCTATATAAGACTCTTGGCGCCCAAGGGCTCACTGGAGATCCATGAGGAGGCATGGAATGCCTATCCCTATTGTCGAACGATTATTACGGTAATTAATGGGTTTTAATGGGAACACGGGGGGTCTATATTATTTTGTAAACTTCCGGCAAGGATGAGTGCGTCGTGGATGAGTGCACGACAATCTGATTACACTATAATTACATTGCATTTCTAGAACCCCAAATTTATGAAAGAGGCGTTTAAAATAATCATCGACACGCTCCACGTCGGCGATGAGGGCGACTCGGAAAATGTAAGTCAAGGATCCATTGTCAGACGTTACTAACCTTGTGTTTTTTTTCTTTTTCTCTCCACAAACCATCACTTCATCTCATCATGCATTGTGAATAATAACCATGACTAACTAACCACTAACCACATTTGATTGCCATTTGAGTTCATTTCCTTTTGGTTGGGCTTGTTTTGGTTTCGGTTTTTGGTTACTTTCTGTTATCGATTATCTGTTAAGAATCCCGGTTACATGAATAAGAACTTTAGAGTAGATGTCTATTCGCAACACCTTGATTATAACATTGGGGAGACCGAGAACGTGAGTGTAGTTGATTTATCATTTCATTTGCTGTCTGCTCTGTTCAGCTTTGTAGTTCCAAACTGCCATTGATTGATCCATGTGCATGTCTGTCTGTAGCTAATCGCTTTAAATGTTTCATAGTGCAGAGACTCAGAGTTTTTAAATGGTTTGCGCACAAAATCCGTATTTGCAGGTGCATGAGCTGACGCCGGATAAGCTGAAAATGCGTGAGGTGGTGCATATTGACATTGCCAACGATCCTGTCCTGCCTGCGGACTACAAACCCGATGAGGATCCAACCACGTAAGTGACAATCAGAAGACTCTTCTTAATGGATTAAAATATATAGAATATTTTTTTCGATTTCAGCTACCATTCAAAGAAGACGGGCCGCGGTCCCCTGGTGGGAGCCGATTGGAAAAAGAAAGTAAAACCCGTCATGACCTGCTACAAGTTGGTGACGTGCGAGTTCAAATGGTTCGGCCTGCAAAATAGAGTAGAAACATTCATTCAGAAATCGGAGCGCCGTCTCTTCACAAACTTCCATCGGTAAATGGCGTTGCATTTTGAATTTGTTCGAAACACAAATCAAAACACTCATATAAGACCGCAGATATTATAGATTTACCTCCCTTCTTTCCCTTTGCAGCCAAGTTTTCTGTTCAACTGATCGCTGGTACGGTCTGACAATGGCTGACATACGCGCCATCGAGGACCAGACCAAGGAAGACCTGGACAAGGCGCGGCAGGTTGGCGAAGTGCGAGGCATGCGCGCGGACGCCGAATAAGTCTAGTTACAAAATTCTAAACAAACTATATATGTGTATGTAAGGATCTGGAGAAACAAAGCAAAAACTAGATGACATGGCAAGGCGAGCAGGCGATAATGAAATTGAGATAAAATTGCATAAATAAATTTACAATACCAAACAAACACCAAGCAAGCAAAACTGAAACGAAATGAAAGCAATTCGAAGCAAACAGTAGCAGCAGAAACTAAAACAAAAGCAAAACACCAAGTGTACTGCAACCGCAGCAACAGAGCTGAGTTCTAGTGTAGCACCCAACAACCCAACAAATTAAAGAGAACCCGAGAAAGCCGAGTTGCAACCGCAGTAAGTTAGTTAAGTTCCTTTCCCTGCACTGTATGTTACAGGAGCAAAAACACACAGGACAGAATGCGACAGGACAGCCTGTTACACGTGAAATCCAATTGTTTAAGTTGCAGTTTTAAAAATTGTAAAAATAAACCAGATCAAAGTTAATGTAAAAAGTTAAACACAATCATCCTGTTCGATAACCAAATCGAGAATCGAGACAGAGCGGCGGGCGGAGTTCGGAGCATTTTGAATTTGTGATGTGCGGAGACATCTGAGGATATGTACATAGAAGCCTATACAGCCAGGCACGTCTATTTGCATTCATTGGTTATGCAGTTGTGGCCGGCATTCGATTTGCATTTCGAAAAGTCAGCAGTCAATGCAACAAACCCAATTCCAAGATGCCGGTAGGGCGGGAACGGGAACGGAGTCTAGGATTGACTGAGCAAACAGTTGCCTTTCATGGGCTTGAGTTTGAATGATTTATGTATGTATGAAGAACCGCCTGCGAGTGGAGTTAGCCCCTGGACTATGTAAGTTTATGCAGACGAACATGATAGTATATCTGTATATCATTTTAGGATTGTGATGGGATTTTCCCCAAATGAAATGTACAATTCCATTCTCACAAGTTTTAAAACACACTACCAAGCAAGAGACACTAGGAAACTGCCAATATCTGAATAATTCGAGATCTAAAGAAATCTTTAAATTAAACCACCTTAGACACATCTCACACCTTCAAGATCGCCTCGAGCACTTTCCTAATTACCGCTAACTTCTGCTCAAACCTAGAAGTAACACTTGAGAGTTACCCCAATATGTAAAACTAAATATATATCTATGAAACGTCCATTTTAACTTTAACTAAAACCTGTCAACCCAAAAAGTATGAAAGCTTTTAACAAAATCTACATATATTTTCATGATCTTGAAACACACACACGCGGCGGCACTTAGAGACCCAAAGGATAATGGAGGAATTAAAAGGCAAATGAATTTAATAGAACCTCATAGGCTTAAAGCACTCAACTAGCGACATGTAGAAGAGGAGAATGGAATAGTCGAGGGAAAATTCAAAAGGATTTTAAATATATTGCCTGCACAAAATGGTTTTATTTTTATAGTCAATCGGTTCGAACACACAGACATCCCACTCGACACACAGAGAATGCATCAGCATCGGCAGGATATTATACATTTGTACATACATACACAGAGGACACTTGAAACACGGGGAGTACTTTTAATAAAAATATACTATGTAATTATTATAAAAGGCAAAAATGCTGCGTTACAACATATTCCATAATGTATAAACTGCGCCAAGTTGTTATTTGCTGTGTGCGTTCTTGTTTGTTCGCGTTCGTTGGTTAATTGCAAATTGGTTACTTCGATTTATTTATTTACTTAGCTAACGTATACAAAAACATATATATATGTGTGTGTGTGTGAAATCTACATTAATATTTACCAGAAATCTAACTTTTGGCCAGCATCATCGCTCTAAATGTTTATTTTAGCCAATTTAAGGAATGTGCAAGATTAAGTGAAAATGTGGATTCCCCACAGTTAAACATGGCCCTTAAATTTCTGGATTCTAGATCTAAAATTTTCTCAGATTCCAAATTTCTATATCTCTTGGCGATTCAGAGTGTACAAAAGGTCCTAAATTGTAGGGGACGAAAATCAGGACCTCGGTCTGTTTCGAGGATAATTTTTTCCAATTTTATTTGTAGCAAACTGTCGAGGGACTCAAACTTCAACAATAACTCCTTATAGGTCCTATCAATCCCCAAAATATCTAATTTATATGGCGCACATCTAGAAGAAATACCAGAATTTAGGCATTAAAATAAAATATACACAAACTAATAAGATACAAGCAAGCGGCATTCTCAATTAACGAAGGAGATCAGTAGATCGACATAAAATTACATTTCAATATTTGAAATAAATTCGCGTTCAATTTTTCTCGTAATAAAAATAATAAAAACCATACTTAATTAATGCTGTTGATTAACATATAATTTGATAAAGTAATACAAATGATAATAATAATTATATATATACACCATAAACGATTTTTACAGTAAGCTGAATACAATTGATATATGAGTAACACGTTATGAGCTGTTAAAAATAAATCGAAACCAAATGAAACAAATACTAATTGTATTGTAGTAATTATTTTAATTGAAGAAATAAAGCATTATTAATGATATATAATATACGAGTGGCAATAGTCCTATTATTTTTGTGTGTGTGTGTACAGTTACGGGCTGCTCCACTCTACACCGTCTGGTCGGCCAGCCAGAAGAACTGACGCACTTCCTCCTCGTTGGAGGGTCGGCAATGCGGCGGCGGAGTGATCAGCGAGTTGCGGAGCGCTTTCATGGCCAGCATATTGCGCTTTACCGCCTTGGAGAGATCGATGATGCGCTCCGGATAGTGGACTCCGATCAGGCACTCGTATTGTTCCTGCTGCTCCGCAGACATTCGCCATGGTTCATGCCTGGGGGGAAAAGGATGTTAAGATTGGGCTTTCCCGAAGGAATCTTAAGTTCTATCCACTCACACAAATTCCTTGGGCACGCCCATCAACTCCGGCACATACTGCTTGATGTAGACCCCCTCCGGATCGAGGCGCTTGGCCAGGGCCACCGGACAGGTGACCAGCGAGGAATCCAGCAGCCTCTCGAAGGCCGAACTGGATACCCACATCCAGTTACCGGCACAGACCGACCAGTCGGCGTCCAGGAGATACTTCAGGAAGTGCTGCAGTCCGTGCTCCCAGCTCTGCCACAAGCCGCCGCGGGTTAGGAAGGTGGCCACCGTGTTGCGGAGCGTGTGGTGCAGCCATCCCTCTGCCAAGAGCTGGCGCATTGCAGCATCGATCAGTGGAAAGCCTGTCTGACCTAGGCGCCAGCGCTGTAGGAGATCCTCATCTGGCTTGGCCCACGGGATGCTCAGGCAAATCTCGTTGCCGTCCATGCGATCGTAGTTCGGGTTGTTCACAGACATCGTGTAGAAATACTCTCGCCAAATCAGTTGTCCCGTAATGTGGGCTCCGCCACTCATCTGAACGCCGCGCACACAGGCTCGCAACTGGACGTTCTTGAAGAGATCGTGGACGCTCCAGTAGAAGCGACGTACCGAGAGACATCCGAAGCGCAGGTGGGCGCTCATAGACTTGGGTGTGTCATGGATGTTGGGCAGAGCCTGGTTGGGCAGGTAGAAGCCTCGCTCGAAGGCGTGCTGCTCCACCTCAAGTCGTTCCTCCAGCAGCAAAAGGGCCTGGGTTTCGCCACCGCGCCAGTTGATCTTGGCCAGGAAACCCATGTTGTCACCGTAGACATTAAAGTGATCCGGATTGGGCATCTTCTCGAAGTAGCCCACACTGCGGCGCAGCTCTGGGGCCAACTCAACGAAAGTAGCATCTTCAAGGTGGACATCGGCAGCAGGGCGAGGTGGTAGGCCAATTATTTGAACAGTGTGCTGGTAGAAAACAAATTGTTATTACTTAATTTAATTACTCTACAGATTTATTTGATGATTACTTACTAGGAACATCTGGTATGTAAGTGGTGGAATACCCCCATTCGTGTCAATCACCATCCGCGGATCCCATAGAGTGTGCGAAACCTTCTCCACAAAGTCAATGCCCAACTCGTGACATAGCGACCGGACGGAGTCATCTCTATCGTTCCATATCGGTTCGCAGTCCTGCTCCATGCAGATCCTGTGCAGACGCACATGCTCATTCAGCCGACGGAAGATATTCACCGGTTCACCCTCAAAGACATGAAGGCGTCCCCTTCCCTCTGTTGCTGCCTGAATCTGATCGTCGATGTCCTGCAAGGAGTCCAGCAGGAAGCGCATACGATTGTAACCTACACACTTGGTGCCTGAAACGGAAATGGTAAGTAACATCATATCTTATTGTAAAAATTAAGGGATAGACAGTCTTATATCCGTATATGTTTAAAAAACCATGAACTGCTTTACGTTTAAATATATAGTTTATATTTTGAGCTTTACATTTTGCTATATATTTAAGGACTGTTTCTTTAGCAACAGCAATTCATAAAATAAAAGCCAAAATTACTAAATCATAAGAACGATCAATATATCATCTACTTTATATGGTTGGAACTGACTTCTTTAATGCATTGCAAACCCCTGACTAAAATTCTAATATCCTGCAAGGGTATAATAATACAAAAATGTATAAAAATGTACTACATTTTAAAATATTCGCAAAGCATTGTCTCTTGAATTTGAATTATTTATTTTTATTTAAACAATGTGCATTCAAATTACCAGTTCTTGAGATTACATAACCGACCTCAATTTTTGCATTTTAAAGTTGGCCAGCTTTCTGTTATCTTGCAGCTTTTCCTTTGACAAAACATTGAGCTAAACTCGGTTGCTTGTTTTTCCGATTTTACCCGCAAAATGACGCTTATCGGTCAAGTTATGGGTTCCATACGAATTTCTCTCTCTGAAAAGGCATTATACTCGCATTCAGGTTTTCTCTCACTGTCCCCTCCCCTTGCCCGATTTTGCATTGTCTTTCTATATTCTATGGTGCACTCGTGCATTCATGGAACCGCCAGCCGCAAATCGCATTATAGCGCATCGTTTGTTTTGCTCTGCCAAGCTAAAGTGCATTAGGTTTTTCCTCCCCTCTTTTTCCTACCGCTTTTCGCGACCATCTGATTTCCATTCCCCCAACCCCCCTTTTGGGGTGCACAGCTGCGAAAACGCTGAATTTGCGGAGGTCGGGGTAAGGGAAAATATTTGATAACACAGGCAAGTCGCAAAAAAAAATTATATTAGCTCATACGTACAATAAGTGTGTAATTGCAATCGAGCTTTTTTTGCATTTTTATTTATTGTTTAACCCACTAATTTACTATGTTTGGCATCACTAAACATTTATAACATTATCAATTACATTATTATATTCCTTAAATTTCAATTAGATTATTTGGCTTTGAATAAAAACAAACAAAAACAAACAGGTAGCAATTCGGTTGTATATAAAATGATATATAGACGTTCAATTTTAAGTCGTAAAAAACGATTATATTTGTTGTTTTAAGTCACTATGTATGTATTTTCAATAAAAAGCTAAGAGACACCAATTGATCCAAACCACTTTACCCTCTTAATTATTCCCATGACAGCTGTAAGTTCGATTCTTATATGGATATAGTTTCAATGAACTCAATGGCAAATGCAAATATGAGAATTGTGAATTGTTTAGTTGGTACACAGACACGTGCTTCGCTCACCTGCACTCTCTCCATCAAATATGAATACGGGAATTAGTGCTATTCCCTGATCTTTGTCACTAAGAGCGGCCACCAAGGCGGGATTATCATGGAGGCGCAATCCATGCCTGAACCACATCACATTCGCTCCACGTACCGCCATCTTGAAGGGACGAAGGAATAAGCTCGCTACTCAATAATCAAGTGATCGCGTTCTCTATATCGATCTGTGAGAAAGTTTTCCCGCTCGGAAAAATACCGGAATATCGAATTTATTTTCCGTACACGCGACACGCTCGCACCGGTCGCTAATTGGCGAATGGGAATGCGAAATGCTAGAGCTGAGAGTAGCTTCGCTGACGGCAGCAGCTCAGCATTTTCCACCCGACGCCAGAAACAAACGGGTAGCGGGCGAGAGAGCCAGAGACCTGTGGGAACTGTACACAGAAAGAAATTATATTCAGCTAAAATATATTTTATTTATTGATTGAATTGCAAAACTACAAGGGTATACAGTGCCGAAGATACCTTTCTTTCTGTCTTATAGTTTCAATTGGAAGCTTAAAATACAGTGAAGGATTAATTTCCGACCCTATAAATCATATAGATTTTTGATCAGCATCAAAAGCCCAACCGATCTAGACATGTCCGGTTTAAATTAATTTTTTTCCGAAATTTTCGAAATTTTGAAAATTTTATAAGGGGTTACATCATTAAAATTGTCAAAAATCGAGAAAAAATTGATTTTGTAAAATTGAAAAACGTAGTATGCAAATTTGTTAACCCAACAAAAACTAGCACAGAAAAGCTTTCCGAATTGAAATGAATGAATTTTTGGCCGAGTTATGATTATTTACATGATAAAACATCAAGCTTCGGCTTCCCTTTTTTCCTTCATGTTTGTCAGATATTCATATTCAATATTTAATAGAGTTTCTTTCAGTGTTGGAAGCGGGAATTGTGAACCGGTAACTCGAAGCCACCCGTTCGTTCTAGTGCGTCATTACAAAAGCTAGGGGCGTGCATGTTTGTGTGTGTGCGAGAGCGAGACTGTGTGCGAGCATAAGTGAGGCACTCAGCCAACGGTTGCTTGCACTTGGAGTACTGCATCGCACTGCGCTCAGTCAGCTGAGCCCCCAGAACCCCCCAAATCCTCTCCCCCCAAACAGCCCTGCTGATATCTAGCTTTCCGAACAAGCTCCCATGTTGTTCACTCTCGTAGTTGACAAAACACAACTGTTGCTGCTTTTTAGTTAGCGAGCTTTTTATACTCGGAACTCATAGGTTACAAGGGTATTACCAAAAACTAATAGATAAAAACTAATATATAGTGCTAATACAATAATTAGTATAAACTATAAACATGGTTAGCATACTTTAGGTATATTTCAATCACATTTATTTCTTATTCGTTGTGAATTGTTAGGCTCGTAGATTGATATTAAGTGCGCAAATCTGACATAGAACTTTTCATTTCTCTGGACACTCAATTCATAGATTCGTTCTCCTGCTATTGATTAGTTTTTTATCAACAACTCACAGTTCGTTCTCTTCCAAGGGAAAACTATTACAAATTTAAACAATTAACCCCTTGCCATAGCTTTGAATTGTCTTGGTTTGACCACCCCTGGGCGACCTCGGTGACCCAGGAAAACTACGCAGTTGCATCAGAAAAGTTTAGCGTTGCTTGTTGTGCAGACAATGACAGCAGAAACATTCACAGCCAAAGGAGGAGCAGCAGCCAGGACGAAGAGCAGCAACGTGCGTAGCGGAATGTTAACTGCAAAGCTCGGCCATGCACGTGTCCTGGCAACAACAGAAACAACAACAAGCTGGAAAGCCAGTCGAAAGTTGTATATCCTTGCAATTAAAACCTGCATAATGGAACCTAGGTAGATTCAAAAGACTAACCTTTCTCCCAGTACTGCTAACTGCCACGTTGCTAGCTGCTTATCCCAACTAAAAATCTTTTAAGGGTATTAAAAGAGTAGGAGCAATAACATTACTAGAATTTGCTTTTAGTTGCAACAATCAAGCGGGAATTCAAATGATGCCAATAATGAGCGTTGGGTGGTGGGACCTCGTCTAAAAACCAGGATAACGGGAGGGAGAGTTAAAAGCAAGCAGGATGCTCTGAATCATGGGAAAAATGAACAATAGAGTCGAAACCCCAAACCAGAACACAAAAGAATTTTAGCCTGAACTGTTAGCTTTTACGAAACTAATTTACGTTCGTTGATATTGCTTGAAAGAAAGGACTAAAAAGGCGAAAAATTGCTGATTGCATCGGAAATTACTCATACGCCAGGTGATCCCAATTTAATCTTGCGTTGCCATTGGTTTCCTTTTTTACGTCCATTTGGAAATGCTCTTATTTATTTTCCCGGTTATTACACCTAGATGGATATATCTGGTACCTGTATATTAAGTTAACTTTTTCATTCAGAGTTTATATATTCGTGGAATAAACTTTTTTTCATTTGCCGAGTACATTTACAACTTTTGAAAAGCACCGAAATGCGAACTGAGAAATTGAAATTGTTGCGGAATATTCGTTTCTTTTTTTGTCGTTCGCCAGCTGGGACCAGGGCAAGACCATCAATGGGATTCCTTTTAACATGTGCAGCTGCCCCCCCTGTATGGCTTCATCCTACCCCCAAGGATAAACTGTTCATTGTAGGTACGAGCAGGTTACCTCGCACTATAATTTATCATCCACCTCCACCTTGCAGGCTCACAGGTCGGTTGCAGCGAGTCCTTCTCCGCCGAACTGTTGGTCGCAGGTTTCATTCTTTCGCTCAACACGTCACCAAGGACTTGAGGGGCATCCTTTGTGCAATCAGCAGGAGCAGGAACTCCACCACCCCCACTATCTCCTGCCCTCGTGTTTGTGTTGATGCCTCGCTACATTACACGATTGCCAGGCCGTGAATTGCAGCTTGTTAGGGGTAGATTGCGAAAGGAATTTTATTCTGTTTGATTTTCCCTTGGAGTATTTTTAGACAAGTTACATGGACGCCAGACAACAATATGTAACAGCTCAATTTTTTGAAAAGAAAAGGCATCTCGGAACCCGTTGCATGATGATGACAGTTGTGGCAATCCATCACACTTCCTTTTTATGAGAACTGGTTATGTAATCGATTAACTTGCAGAGTGAATTTGACAGGACGACACGGTTGCAGCTGGAGCTGCATATGTGTACATTTAAATGAATAATCATTGCACACATTAAGCTTGACATAAATCTGATAAATACCAAAATACTCACATTCATGTGTGTATTTGTATGGAAGCACAGAAACCTTCATTTGCATTCATAGAATGTGAAACAACAGAGCTTTACTTTACTCCTGGTAAGAAGATTACGCTGCCCAAGCCACAGTCAGTTGACAAAGCAAATCTCTGGCAAATAGAATGTGCCACAGATTTCCCAGTCCTTCACCAAATTACCAAGTTCATGTGATGCAATTACAGGCAGTTGGTTATACAAATAGATGAAAATTTGTCAAAATAATTTCACTAATGAAGGGGTTTGATGCTTCGAAGTTTGATATTTCATTGTCTTGGGAATCATTGAAATTTGAACTGTCATCTATTTATTAACTAATTAAATCAACTAAGTTTCTTATTAAATATAATTACCATCGAATGCCGATGAATAGTAGTTTCTATCTTCAAAGTTTTTTTATCCTTTTCTTAAATTCAAACCACTTTATATAATGCCTAGCTCGAAGGGTTAAAGCCTAGTATATGTTAGTGTGTTTTTTTAGGATAGCCTTCGTGACACAACCTTCTACCCTATGACCGTATATCCTTTTCTTTCCCTTTGTGATTTTATTGGCCCTCTTCGTGGACTTTACTGACTTTACTAATACAAGTTAAACAATCAAATATGTCAATCATACGCACCATTGGATCCTTTGTGCCGCCAATCCTATACACACACAGTCAGCGAATTCCATGGAAAACGGACCGTAAATGAAATAATATTTAATGTAATTTTATGTGCATTTAATACACAGGCAGGCGGTCTTAAGTACTCTTAGAGGAAAATGTACAAGGACTTGTGAATGATTTGTGTATGCAAAGGGCTTTGGACTTGGGGTGTGAATTATTTAATGTTTTAATAAATGTGTTTATAAGTACTATATATAAATATTTTTATCGCTTTTCTTTCCATTCATAATTCTTTAAAAATTCCTTAATAAATATATCCCTTGAATATATGTAACTGTTTTTATTATCCGTCTGTCGTTCGTTATGACCCAGACAGAAACTCTAACTTGTTATTTTTATGTCCATTTGTTATGCGCTTTTAGGGTATTATAACTTTAGTGATAAGTTTGCAAATCACTGAAGAGAACGTGTCTTTATAAACTATATATATTCTTGATCAGAGTTAACAGCCGTGTCGATCCAACCATCAAAGCATCTTAACTTCCGTATAGGTGATATATTTATAAATATGTCTAAATATTTAAATATAAACTATATTATCTAGCTGACATAGATACAATCGGAAAATGAACAAGAAAATAAGCTATATGAAAACTAACATAGTTCTGTTTCTTTCATGCATACTTCCATAATCCTGCAAGGATATACAAACTTCGGCTTTCCGAAGTTAGTTTTCCTTTTGTTTTTCCGTTATTTGTTGCTGCTTTTGACTATTGTTTATTTTTAGTCGAAATGGTGGACGCACGCACACTTATGCCCACATGTAAGTGACGGGTTTCGTGCCTATCAGAGCGTCCGACTGAGTGAGTGTGCGAGTGTGTGTGTGTACGGCGGCTGTCAACGACAGGCGCTACCCTGTCGGGGCGAAACGTTGAACCCCGGAACGGAATGGTGCCAAGAGGAGGGTGGAGCGACAACAGGATCGAAGGACCTCGTCCTTATTTGTTTGTTTACCTGCGGGTATCATGGACAGACGCGGCGACCCCTCTCTACTGCACAGCCTGACGTCAACCGAGTCGTATTAATTCCTTACGTACGTTGCTTTCAAATTGTAAATATTGCCTTTTGTCTGATTGATTGCACCCAACTGACCTCTCTGACCTCTGTTAACCAGTGTCCCCTCCTCTTTTTGACCACCCTCTGGCATATATGCCGACAAATTAACTCGCATAAATATTTATGTAAAGCAGGAGGAACCTTTGAAGTCAACCGCCGCGGCGGGAGAATCGGTCCCGGCCATCGCACAAGGACCTTCTCCAACCCAACAAGTCGGGTTGTTCAGGTAATGGGGACAGAATACACAATGAGAGAAAGCTTACTTTTAATATTTATAGAATCACTTTGGTAAATGTTGACGATAAAACT